TGGCAATGACAACATCTTTAATTATTTTAAAAATGCCAAAGATATCTTACCACAACACCTATAGTTTTATATTGTCAAATGCTTTGCTTAGGTCCGCAAAGCATAGGAAAAGCTAGTTTGTTAAATTCTAGAGCTTTTTTCCACGATGTGTCGGATGATAAAAATTGCGTCAGTGCATGATCTACCGCGTCTAAAACCTTGTTGTTGTTCTTCCCATCATAATCACGAGAGTTGTTCTATCATAATCACGAGAGTGTTTGCAATACATTTCGTGAGGATTTTCAATGAGCTGTTTAGGAGGTTTATCCCTGTGTAATTATCTGGATCGCGTTTGTCTCCTTTCTTAAATAGAGGGATAAGAGTGCTTGATTTCCATTCCTTTGGTATTGTTGCATCATTTAAAATGTTATGAATAAGTTTGGTTATCTCTATGCATAAAGTTTTTCGTCCATATTTAATGAGCTCATTATATATTCCATCTTCTCCAGGTGATATCCGGTTTCGTAGTTTTCTGATTACTTTTGATAATTCTTCACATTTTACGCACTGTTCCTTGGATGTAAAATCTTCAACCAAGTCTAGTATCTGCGGTGTGTAATCGTGGAGTAGTTCTCTAAATTATTTTATCCATGTTTCATCAGATACTTTATATGTGGTAATAAGTTAATTTATTTCTGTCTTCTGGCCTCTAATGAATCTCCAGATATCTTTTGTCGCCCATAAAAATCATGTTGAAGTCGCATGGTGAAGGAGATCCAGTAATCTTTCTTTATTTCTCTAATCCTTGCATTATTCTTCTATTATTACTGCGGCCTCTTTAGCAGCTTGAACAATATTTGTTTTTATTTTATGCCATGAAAGTTCTACGCTGTCATTATCCAAGACTGAATTGTGAGATATTTTGTCATTGAGTCTGCTTTTATATAGATATCTGGTAGATTCTTCACTTAGAATTGTCAAATTGGTTTTTATAATTGCTTGAAAATATTTAGTTTTCGCACCAAATGTTTTACGATTTGTAATGATGTTTCAAAAAATGACGTGTTGATTCAGAAAGAATTTATCGTGTAAATAGTACTACATAACCATTAGTAAAGGCAAGAAAGTATGTGATGTTTTATTTTAACCAGGTGTATTGATTAGAACAATCTACTAGTATATTGCTATATTTCGCATTATTTTGCAATACACTGAAAACTAAGCAATCTCTATCCCTGCGAGGGACGTCACTGGTTTGCTAGATACCCAAGAAGACTGGAAAATACAAACACAATTAAACAGTTCTGATTTTGACTGAAAAAGGGCAAATTTTTTGTTTACGCAATTTCGCTACCTGTTGTTACGGCTATATTGTCATACCCATTGCGCAACTGCTTTACGATACGATCTGAAGTCATGCGACGACGAAGAATTGGTTTTTGCTTTCGCCATTTCAAAACAGCCAATTTTTTACTGCTTCAAGGCCCCATTTTCCACCCGCTGCGTACCTTAGTAAGTGCTAGAATGTAAAAAACATTTAAGTTTCAACAAATTGTATTTGCCCATTCAAAGGAACAGTAAATAGTACGATTTTAGAAGTTTCAAATTGGTTTTGTATAAACAAAATAACAGTTAACGAAGGAAACTGTTTCAATGCATTTTTGCATTTCAAATCAGCAATCGCATACTCCGTTGAAAATAAACAATATGCAATTAGCTTATGTTAAGGTAACAAAATTTATACGTCTCTCAATTTAGTCAAACATCAAATGGAATGTACATATAACAGAATTAAATACTATATTAAGACCAAAATCTCCATCAGGTTTTTGTCCAGTTTCCCTGATCCATTGAGTAAATGCTGAGATGGCCCCTTTTTTGCTTCTGGTCGTAAATGTAGCTTCACTATGCCCACGTTTTATTGAACTCTCCTTTTGTTTGAAATGGTAGGAGTAGATGTAAGGGCGAGTTACTACTTTTTGTTAGCAATGCAGAAAAATCTAATCTGCCGTTCGTATACCGTTGCAAATAAGTTTTCTATAACTCTGGAACGAAAATGTCTAGTTTTTCAAGTATTGCTAATCGTGCGCTTTTTTAAATTTTGTTTTTAAAATTTATTTTATTTATTTGTGTTAAATTTTGCTCATCTTTCAACTATTCATAGTTAAAATGATGGGAAGGGATTCTGGAGCTCAAGAAAACGTGCGCAAATGATCTTCTCCCCCATACGTCTGATACAGTTTTTACTGATTTTGACTAAATAAATCTAAATTTTAGTTTGTCATTCTGTCGAGAATAAATGAAGAATACAGAAGAAAAAATATTTTGTTTCGTCATGTTGTTTAGCATATTTCCTCAAATTTTAGGATGTAATTTCATGCTTATTTTGAACATTTTTTGGTCATAAACTCTGACCTGTTTCCCCTCCTTGTCCCTTCCGCTCAGCTCTAATGCCACGCCGCGCCCTCTAGTGGCATTGGTTGCTTCAGAAAAACCTTTCAGCTGTGGCCGTGCGATGGCAGCACCCCGCGGTTTCGCTGCAGAGCTGTGCGCACCAGCAGCTTTCTCTTGTGGCCGCTAGGGACGCCACCGGTGCAGCTCGTCTACAATTCTCTCCAGTTCGACCACCCAAGGCTCTGCCAGGGAGAGCCGTCACTCCGGGCACGTGCCCTATTTCACAAAAAGACCAGAACGCATATCTATTTCCGCTGAAGTGTAAAAGAGATGTGTCAACGATAAATTATATTACGTGAAAACTACTTCGTAACTATCTAGTTTAAAACTATTATTATTAATACTATTATTATTATTATTAATACTATTATTATTAATACTATTATTATTAATACTATTATTATTAATACTATTATTATTATTATTATTATTATTATTATTATTATTATTATCTTCATCATAATCATCATCATCATCATCATCATCATCATAACTCCTACGCTGGCTCATGGGGAGGGTACAAGCTTCCCGTGGTGCGATTCCCAGGCAAAACAGAGTTGTAGCTTTCTTTTAAAGTCGCCTCCGTTTCTGAAGCTATGTGACGAAGAAAACATCGTACAAACGTTGTTGTCGAATGACGCAAGTTGGCTGTAAGTGACGCACTGATAATGAGAAGAAGCTGAATAACACAGTCTAGTATTTGCATTTTTAAGCTAAAATCGAATCTGTGCAAGTGTTTCTGGATTTCTCCAGAGTTTCTGGAATCTAATGAAATTATAAACACATCTCTTTTTCCTGGAGGTTGTATAGTATTTTTGTAATTTTCTTTCAGCATTGGAAAACAGTAATATGCTGTGCCATGACATAAAAACGTATTTTTGCAATTTAATATTTTTTATTTATATGTTTTCTCAAAGTTTAAATTCAAAATATTTCTCCAGAAATATTAAAAGGTTTTATTCTTCAAATCTTGTCGGTTGAAATATAAACGTCAGTTTACGATTGGCGTCTCAATGTGTACGTACATGATTTCCATCCGTCGCATATGCCCTTCCCAAACCAAGAGTTACCAGTCTCGAAGACCTTAGGAAATTGGATGCTGTGTCACCTGAAGATGTGGATAAATCAATTCCAGAATCGTTGTGGAGTTGTGTAAATTGTTTGCAAATGTTGCAGCTCTAATATGAGAAAATTGTTCCAATTATGTCCATGTACTTGCTGTTAGCAGAGAAAGAAATCTCGTATTAAAATTATCTTATGTATATTGGTATTAGTCATGAGGCTATTGATCAATATTTACCGATGTTGTTAAAAAATTATTATTTCTTGAAGCAGTCTACCTCTACAGTGATCAACTTCAAAATTTATTTTTACTTGTGTAAAAAACAGGCAAAATTGTTCGTATTGCGAGAGCGTATATTTTTTTGTAAATTTCTAAATCTTCTTAATCTCTGCTACTTCACACAGTGATTTCTAAATAAAAGTAGCTACAAACGTTTTGGAAATACTTGATAAGACATGAGGGGATGCATAGTACACAAAAAATGTTCCACGTCTAAGGATGTTAAATGATTTCAAGTTTCATTAACTTTGTAAACTTTCATCCTTGCACTTACAAATAAAGTTCTCAAAATTAACATTACAGAAAACTTTAGAGAATATAATATTTTTGTTTAAATGGCTCGCTCTACTGTATAAGAAGAGAAAGTATTGTAATCGTGTGCCCTACGTCCCTCCCTCTCTCCCTCCTCTCCCTTTCTCTGTCGTCCGACCGTTCGACCCTCCGTTCGTCCGACCCTCCGTCCGTCCGTCCGTCCGACCCTCCGTCCTTCCCCCAGTTAATTTTAGCAACGAAACCGTTCAGCCGCTTTTCTCTAAAATTAATATTCCTGGATCGAAAATGAACTCGAAACCCTCTGTTTTCGGGTATTTTGATTTTGGTTATAACTTTACTTAAAGCCTCAACACTCATAATTTTCTTCTTAACTTTGTCTACGGATAGCCTAAAGGACGCTTAAAAAAGTGGAATAAGTCTTATCGTCGGTGAAATACCGATTTTTTAAACCTGCTAATGTTCAAATTTTTCGGCTATTTTTTACCTCTGCAACATTCAATCTAAAGATTTTTTCATTAATAAAATGTCCTTTAAAGACCGTTCTTTTAATAAGATCATGTACAAATGTTTGAAAATGAGTATTTTCGCGTTATTTTCCGTGATATATACGCAATATTAAATAATTGCTTTTTACAAAAAGGCTCTTAATTTGTTCTGTAATTTTTTTCTTCGTGTGTGTAAAAAACTTTCGCAAGTGTCATGCTCCCTGGGTTTTTGAAAATTACAAAATGTTAGTGCAAGAAGTACAAAAAAATAAAAATTGATGAATGGAATATTTGCCTTAAATAAAATGGCTAGTAAAATGTCAGCAACGAGTAGTTTTTGCATAATTTCCGCTTGAAATTAAATTAAGTTTTTAAAAAATTGTACAAAATCGCTCAAAATTGAACAAAAAGATTTGTTCTTCAATTTCTTTCATGGTACAACAAAAAAATTTAAAGGAATGGCGCAGCTTTTATTCTCATGGAAGTTTTTAAATTTTCGAAAATTGCTTGTTGGTTGTAATGAGAGAGAGAGAGAGAGAGAGAGAGAGAGAGAGATATATATAGAGATAGAGATAGAGATAGAGATAGAGATAGAGATAGAGATAGAGATAGAGATAGAGATAGAGATAGAGAGAGAGAGAGAGAGAGAGAGAGAGAGAGAGAGAGAGAGAGAGAGAGAGAGAGAGAGAGAGACTCTCTTTGTTTCTTAAGCATCGGCCCAAGTGAGTAATTCAAAGCGACTTGTGTGATGTAGTGATAAAGACCGCGGCGAGTTAACTCGATGGAAATGGATTCGGATGTAAATAAATGTGAGATATATTAAAAATACACATTTGTATAATTTTTGAAAAATGAAAAAGTTACAAAAAAAGTCATTTGCCATTATCAGTGGTTTCAGCGCAACGCGTTAACCCTGCTGTACTCTTCGTATCTAAGTGCCCCTAAAATAGATTCCTTTTGTTCTTACAGGCATGCTTAACTAGTGAGCATTCTGATTCTTCGTGACTTTGATATACATCTAAATATCTTTAAACGTGTGTAAAATAGTTTTGTCTTTTTGTTATAGTTTTCCTAAAAAAATGTTACATATTACCGTTTGGGTCTATCTGACCAAATTGTTCAAAAATATATTCAAATTAAGTTAGAACTGTTGGATTTTGAACTGACTGAACTTTGAAGACTTTCATTTGAAGAAATAAATTTACCATACAAGCTTACTCCTGCCTCCTAGAGAGAAGGAAGAACATAATTAGGGAATGCGTGTTTATTCGGATCTAGTTATTCACACAAATGACAATTGTGCAGACGATTATTTCTTTACGTCTTCGAATTTGGAACAGTTCTAAAAAAATGATAATTCTGAATAGAGATTGAAAAATTAAGCTAGAACTTGCACGCAAATGCACAACAGAAAAGTTAAAACTACTTAATTTTTCACCATCTTTGTTGTAAATCGTTTTCCAGGAACGAAAAGAAAAGAAAAATAGTAGAAAGAACTTTAGTGCATTACTTCGAGACTGAAACAATTTAGAAACACATGAAGCAGAAATTACTTTAGACTTCAATAAAATAGAAGAAGCTGCCGGTAGCCCATTTCAGCTTACATGTGCATTCATTTTCAGAAGGAAAATAATTAAATAAACTATTAATACTGTTAGAGTACGATCGACTTTTTCTTTCGCTAAATGGACTTCAATAATTGATAATAATATGTCCCCTCCAAAAAATTAACACAAAGATTTTGATGAACCTAGTTTCTCATTAAAGAGTATATGGCATTGTGGAAGCATCACACGAAATAATAACCTCCATCAATGGCAGAATATGTACATTTTAACAATTCCTCTATATGTAAATTCCAAAATTCTTCTACATGAGCTGGTCACATGTGGTAGGTACAAGTGTTACCCTATA